AAGAGAGTAAGGGAGAAAATGTTAATATGGCAGATCAAACTTGAAAGTAAGTTGTATCTCTAGCCATTACATTGCGAGTAGCACAAAAATAAGGAAATATTCCGCCAGCATCCAAAAACTGTTATCTAATGTAGCAAAAATACAGTTCCAAAATACAGTCACTCCTCGGTATCCAGGACCCCCTGGGGATACCGAAATCCACAAATGCTCAAGTCCCTTAGAGAAAATGGTAGTATTTGCATATGACCTACATACATCCTCTCATGCATTTTATATCATCTCTAGAGTACTGATAACACCCAATGCAATGTAAATGCTATGCAAATAGTTGTTATATTATATTATTTAGGTAATAGCGCCCAAAAAAGTCTGTGCATCTTCAGTACAGATGCAACCATCTATTTTTTTTTCAAATGAATATATTAGATACATAGTTGGTTGAATTCACGAATGTGAAACCCTCAGATACAGAAGGCTGAGTGTACATCTTTACTGTTTCGCTTTTCCTTACTCATTAATATAAATGAAAATGTCAATCAACTCTCATGTCAGAACTGCACCTGCTTTTCAATAATATGAGATATTTCTTTTGCTGAGATGGGTCGGATAGTAGTCAAACATTTATATGTAGTAAGATTTATGCTCAATTATGCTCAATACATATATATATGGGTACATATTCCCCCCTCCCCTCCAGAGAGTTGGTTGTTAAACATTTACCAGCACAGCACAGAATGTGGCCATGGTTTGAACATTCTTTTTTTTTTTCTTTTGAGACAGAGTCTCACTCTGTTGCCTGGGCTAGAGTGCCATGGCATCAGCCTAGCTCACAGCAACCTCAAACTCCTGGGCTCAGGCGATCCTCCTGCCTCATCCTTCCTAGAAGCTGGGACTACAGGCATGTGCCACCATGCTTAGCTAATTTTTTCTGTGTATTTTTAGTTGGCCAATTAATTTCTTTCTGTTTAGTAGAGACAGGGTCTCGCTCTTGCTCAGGCTGGTTTCGAACTCCTGAACTTAAGTGATCCTCCAGCCTCGGACTCCCAAAGGATTTGAACATTCTTAACACAGGGACAGTGCCCCACAGTGTCAGCTCAGCTGATGGCCTTGCAGCTGGAGCCCTGTGGGAAGGTGACATGTGTGTCTCAGTGACAACTAGTTCTTGTCATTGTGGCCTGCAGGGTACACTTTCTCTGCCCATGAAGAAAACTTGTGGGCATCCTTGGAGCTACATGGCACACACAGGACTTGTCTGGGCACTTGTCTGGGAACCCAAGGTGGGATCCACCTGGTTTGGGCAGGTCCAGTGCCCACTCATCTTGGGAGATGATCCAGGAAGCCCAGGTTAACCTGGACTAAACAGATTGGAAGGGCAGGAACAAGTCCTAGGTGGCTCCTTGGGGGGGGGAGGGGCCCTGGGGGCAACACTCAGAGTGAGCCCAGCCCAGCAGGCAGAATTTGAGGCACTGGGTCATTCATTTATTCAGACAGCATCCAGTCTTTGCCAGCACCGGGCTGGGTGCTAGTCCTACAGCTCATTTATCTTTTTTTTTTTTTTTGAGACAGAGTCCCACTCTGTTGCCCTTAGTCGAGTGCTGTGGTGTCAGCCTAACTCACAGCAACCTTAAACTCGTGGGCTCAAGCAATCCTGCTGCCTCAGCCTCCTGAGTAGCTGGGACTACAGGCATGCACCACCATGCCCGGCTAATTTTTTCTATATATTTTTAGTCGGCCAATTAATTTCTTTCTATTTTCAGTAAAGACGGGGTCTCGCTCTTGCTCAGGCTAGTTTTGAACTCCTGACCTTGAGCGATCCACCCGCCTCGGCCTCCCGGAGTGCTAAGATTACAGGCGTGAGCCAATGCGCCCGGCCTATCTTTCTTGATAAATAATATTTATTGATTAGTTTTACCTGTGCTGATAATTTGCTGATCTTGGAATTTATTATTATTGAGAAATACTGTGTCCCGGGCCCTGCTCTGTGCTGAACGAGGCTCTCGTGGAACTCACAGTTTAGTGCGAGGTAATGAAGTAACAAGGAAATCACAACATCTATCTGGGAGTCTAGGAACTGGTTTGGGATAGGAGTCTCTGTAAATCTTCTGAAGTGGGGATTTCGAGGGTGTGTGTGTGTGTGTGTGTGTGTGTCTTAAGAGAGGGTACCCAAGCCAGGGCCCTCCCAAAGTGCAGGCACAACTGCCATACACAGAATAAGCGTGGTGGCAGAGGAGGTTCAGGTGTAACGGGATGGTCTGGGGTGTCAGGGAGGGCTTCCAGGAAAAAGGCAAAGCGGCGAGCTGGAAGAGACAGGTCCTGGAGACTAGAGAGCCGGAATCAGTGGTGTTGCTGGCGGTGGGGCGACAGCAGGTGCAGGGACAGACAGACCTGATTGGGAAGACACGCCACAGGACCGCTGTAAGCAGTAAACTTTATCCCCGGCTCACTAGTTACGCAGGTAAGCAGGTGGTGGCTGAGGAAAGCGATCAGGAGACAGGAAGCTCGCACCTGAACTTCTACAGGGGAGGAACGAAAGATTCTCGGATGTCTGAGGATGCTCTTCCTGGGGCGCTTCATTTAAGCCCCCTTCTCATGGCCCCTCCTCCCCAGAATCCCCCCACAATGTTCTGCACCCCCACCCCTAAGGTAGCTAGATTTAGCAAGTAAAAACAGGTTGCCCAAACTCACCAACTCCCACCCGCCAAAGGCTGAGCTGGACCCTGGGAGGCTGCACGCCGGGAACTCAGGAGCACAGGCTCCAGGTCTGAGTTCAAATTCTGACCCTGACATTTATAAGCTGTGACCTCGGGCAGGCACCCACTTTCCTTCTCCGAGCCCTTGTCCTATCTGCAAATGGGGAGATTAATACAACCCGTAGGTGACTCAGCACGGTGCCTGGTGTGTGCTGAGCACTCAATAAATGTCAGGCATGATCATACCCTTACCTGTTGTTATATATAATTATATATATATACAATATAAACAATTATACAATAATTATTTATGACAATAATTATTTATGACAATAATAAGGCATTGTTACTATAGGCTGGACTTTTGTTTACTGCTATCTCCCCAGCATCTGGAATAGTGCATGGAACAAAGTAAGTGCTCAATAGTTACGCGCTGAATGACTAAATGATGGCAGAATGGGCTTAGCCTGCAGGTAGCTGGTAAGGGCCCAGTGTCCCTGAGCTTGGCCTACCGCACTCCCACCAGGCCAAGCCACTCCAATCGCTCTAATGATAAATAAATAAGACACAAGGGGGCATAGACCCCAGGATGAAGTGTGTGGCTTCCTTTCAGCTGAGTTCTGGGAAATAGCCCCTTTCCAACCTGTGACAGGAGGTGGGTGGCATCTCGGGGAAGCTCTGGATCCTGACTCATGCCAAGGGCCTGTTGGGACCAACAAGGTCTTGATCTGTCGCTCCAGGGCGGATGGAGAGGAAGCATCTGGAGGATGAACAGGGACACAATTCCTGCCTGTCCTCACTAGGCTGCACCTCCGTGGCGTCCAGCACACCTGGCTGGCATGACCAAAGGACGTCCCCACGGCCCATGTGTGAGGACAGAGCTCTGGTTTCATGGTTACCTGCAACTTCAAATTCCTGGGCCTCCAGGTGAGATGCCCAGACAGCCCCAGACAGGTGGGACACTGAGCTCGTGACCTTCTCCCACTCCGCACGTGCTTCTCCCTGGGTTTCCCGCCTCTGACAGTGGCACCTCCGTTCTCCCGGATCTCACACCAGAGAGCAGGAGTCCTCTTCCCTTCCACACCCTCTCCCCACCTACAAGCCGGACCCACCTGTGGATTCTGCCTCCCACGTACCTCCTGATCCGCCCCCCCCACTCACTCGCCCCTCTGGGTCCAAGCATGCCGCCATCGCCTGCTCATTGCTAACTGCCATGGCCTCCTGGCACCTCCCTGCCCTCTCCCCCAGCCTGGTCTCCAGCAGCAACCCCTGAGCCGGGGCCTCTGCCCGGCTGCTCTCCGTCCCATGCACACTCTTCTCCCGGTTTCACTCGGCTACTTCCTACTCAGCCCCAGGGTGCCTGCCTCCACCATAGACACCCAAACACGCAAACGCCCATTGCAGACAAGATGATACTTTGCTTTGCAGTATTTCAGCAAGTACCTTCCAAGATCAAGGACAGTCTCCCACATGACCTAAAGTCCATTTTCATACCCAGGCAGCTCACCGATGCAGGGATATTAGATAATAGGCAACCCATAATTAAATTCTCCAATAGACTGGGCATGGTGGCTCACGCCTGTGATCCTAGCACTCTGGGAGGCCGAGGCAGTAGGATCGCTTGAGCTCAGGAGTTCCAGACCAGCCTGAGCAAGAGCAAGATCCTGTCTCCACTAAAAAAAAAAAAAGCAAGAAAAAATCGCAGCCAGGCATTGTGGCGCAAACCTGTACACCTAGCCTCTAGGGAGGCTGAGGCAGGAGGATCGCTTGAGCCCAGGAATTGGAGGTTGCAGTGAGCTATGATGATGCCACTGCACTCTACCTGGGGAGACAGAGCAAGACTCTGACAAAAAAAAAAAAAAGTCACACAACGTATTTAACTACACCCCCCTTTAGTCCCTGTTGGTCCCCCTGGCAGCACCCGGACTTCCCCGCAGAGCAGACCTGTGCTGCAGAGCCGCTTGCTGAATCTGAGCTCCCTGTCAGCTGCGAGATTTTTGAGGGCAGGGCTGAGCCTGTCTTGGGTTGGTGGCCTCCCCATCTCTCTGGAGTGCCTGGCATCTAGGAAGCAGGCAGTAAATACTCTCTGAAGTGGAATCAAGGAGATGACACAAATCCTGCTTGTTTGTAACTATCCTTTCCTTTCACGATAAAATCTGCTGCCCAGTCAAGGAGGGAGGGGGGTGTGCAGCTGAGGAAATACTTTTTAAATTAAAAAGAAAATAAATTTTTTTTTTTTTTTAGAGATGAGGTCTCGCTCTGTCGCCCAGGCTGGAGTACAGTGGCGCGATCGGTGTGATCCTCCCGCCTCAGCCTCCGGAGCGGCTGGGACTACAGGAACGCGCCACCACGCCCGGCCCAGTGCGGAAATACTTTTCACTCAAACGCTCACTCTGTCTAAACCATGGAAAGTGTGAACCACGGAAGGAGAAAAGACAGCTTGTCTTTGCCTGGCGTGTCGTGTCGGTCTGAGACATGACAGTGTCCTTTTCTATCATGGAACGGGGACAAGGGACATGCAGGTGGGGGTGGGGGAAGGGCAGGGTCAAGCGTGGCTTCCTTTCTGGCTCTTTCTGAGTCAGGGCCCGCAGCATTGCCTGCCACTCTGCACCCAGGGCCGTGAATTCCCAGAAGGTCTGGGAGTCCTGGCTGGAGCGAGGCTGCAGAGCTAGAAAAGGCTCCCCGGGTTATCAGCTCGCTGGGGTCACTCACTCCCCAAGGCGCTCTCGCTGGCATGAAGTGTTATGCGCTGGCTGGAATAACAACAGCCGGGACAGGGTCTTTGGAGGGGCAGGAAGGCCCAACAGCCCTGCGAGACAGAGAGGTCATTCAGAGTCACCAATATTTATTGACACAGCCATGACTGTTCCTGGGACAGCTGTGAATCAGAGGAACTGCCGGGAATAGCATTCAAAGGCCAGACTCACACTGTCTGACCAGCCGTCTGCTGGGGGCCACCACCCTGCCCCCCAGCACCAGGGCAGGGACTGTGGCTGGGGCTGGTCCTGCCGGGCTCTGGCAATCTCGGGTCCCGGATCGGGCGCTGCAGATACAGGCTACCTGCTGCATGGTCTGAAGACAAACTCCACTTCTTCATTGGTTCACCATGTAGATTGTGCACCTACTGTGTGCCAGACAGGGTTGTAGGCACTGAGCACCTACTGTGTTGCAGCTATGGTCTAGATCCTGGGTCCTGGGTACTTGTTCTTTATTTGTTTTAGATTTAGAATGCATGGCAGGGTGACCCAAAGCAGTAGAGCAAAGCACAGAACCAGGGTATCTTTGGGTCCTGGCTGGTCCTGGGCTGGGAGAGGGCAGTTTGTCCCCCGGACTCCAGCAGGGCTCTGTGTCCTCCAAGGGCAGTTTGGTAGCGGGGCAGCCCCCAGAGGGGACAGCAAGAGTGAGTCCAGGCTGCTCAGCCAGGCTGGCTGCCACCCACACTGGCTCCCCGGGCACCCCCTCCCCGTCAGAGTGGCCCTGGTTGCTGGGAGACGCTGTGCAAAACAGTGCTGGCTGTTCTGCAAACCTGGCGAAGCCCCCAGCCCCCCGGGCTGCTGCAAGGAGCCCGATCCCCTAATTAGAACCGTCAGGCTTGGCCTGCGCCCTCCTCAGGTCCAAGCCCGACTTCAGTGGCCATAAAACTTGCAAAACTCTTTCCTGTGGGCTCTCCCGGGATGCAGCCTGCAGGAGCCCGGGAGGCGAGTCACTTCCCCTGGCTGAGGGCTGGGCAGGTGCAGCTGCAGCCACCGGCCTCCTGGATCAGAGTTAGCAGCTTTGGGGAGCAGAGCTGGCCCTCCCAGGGCCTGGCACTCTGTGGGCTTTAGGAAGGCACTGCTGAGTGGAAGGGCCCCCACTGCTGGAGGCCTGGCCACCTGCCTCCCAGGCCACGGAGGCATCCTTGCCCCCGTCCTGCAGAGCCAGTCTGCCCTGCCAGCTCCTGCTCCTGCAAGGCCCAGCCCCAGGGGCCTCCCCAGGTGGGCTGCTTCTCTCTCTGGGCGCAGACCTACTGTGCTGCCATTATTTCACTTGTCTGTTTGTGAATTCCTCAGGGTAGGGACTGAGTTTTGTCTATTTCTGTATCTCAGGACTCACCACGGGCTTGGCACAGGGCCCGGGGAGATTTGCCAGGTAGCCGAATTAGAGGTGCTGAAACTCCTCTTGAGTCACCTGGCTTTGGCAGGAGGGAGCCCACCCCTCCTACAGGAGCAGAGGTGTCGGAGCTGAACTTCTTCCCATGGACCTCGAGAGGCTGGCATGGCCTGGGCCACCGAAGTCTCCAGCCAGGTGGACAGGGCTGACTCCAGCTCATAAGCCAACTCTGGCCAAGCCCGCACCGAGGTTTCCACTTGGAGAAGGTCCCCATGGTTGGGCTGGCCGAGGACCCAACTCGGAATCTCTGACTAATCCCAACTGTCCGACCTCTAGTCCCTGGGTGCAAAGGGAACAGCTGCCACTCAATTTCCTCCCCGGCTCCTCTTCAGCCCACTCCGAGTGAGAGGTGGCCGGGGCCTTGGTTCTGAGCTGGGCACCCCGATGTCTTCTGGCTCCCCTCCTGCACCTAGAAGGTCACGTCAGTTTGCAGAAAGCCATGGTTCCAGCCCCACGAACTGCATGCAGTGGCTTCCAGCAGGGCTGGGCTGGCTGGCTGTTTTCTGGAAAGATGGCTACTCTTTCCTGAACTTCGGGGGTGTTTGTCCATACCAGAGGCAGTGGGATTCCCCGGTGGGAGGCCAGAGGGAAGGGCTGTCAGCTGAGACAGGGACTTCAAAGGGCTCCTGGGCCCCCCACCTGGGCCTCCAGCTGCAGGATGGGCTGAGCTGCCAGCCGACAGCTGGCAAAACACGGTTCTGCTTGCTCTAAGCACCAAACAGCAAACAGGGACGATTCGCAAGCAAAGGCGGCTCAAGAATGGAAGTGACAGCTGGAGTCCTCCCGGGACGTGGGGGTTTGAGAGTGTCCAAGCAGGGTCTGCATCAGTGTTCCCCTGGGGCTGAGCAGGGTGGGGACCCCCAGCAAAATGTAGCCCTGGCTGGTCCTCAGCTGCCTTTTTTTGGGGGAGGCAGCCTGGCTCTTGCTGATTATTTGGTTGTTACTAATTTGTACATATCCAAAGTGGGGGCCTAGACAGGCCCTGCGTGGTGCTGCCAAGGAGAGGACACTGGCATTTATTAAGCCCCAACTGTATGCTTGGCTTGCCCTGGATGTTGGGGCTAGAACAAAGGAAGAGGTTACAGTCTAGGAGCCACAATGGGGGCAGCAGCTGTGGGTTGGGAGAGAGTGGTGGGACGTGAGTCCGGCTGCCCTAGAGTCAGCTGGGGATGGGCCCCCCGAGGCCCCCGTCCTTGTGGGTGGGGCCCGCCAGTGTTTCCAGAGGATGAGGTCTTTGGTGGGCCACATCCCTGGAAAGGAGGGAGGGGCGGGAGAGAGGAAGTGCTGTCTGGGCCGAGGCTGCAGCTGTATCCTCCTCGCAGCCTCTTCCCAGCCTTCCCTCCCGCTCTGGCCGTCCCTCCGCCTGCCCCAGCCCCCAGGGCTCCTGGCAGAGGCTGTGAAACGGCACTGTCCCCTGCCCCCCACCTGCCTCCTGGTCTCACATTCCCGTGTGACTCAGGAGGGTGGAGACACAGCCTGGAAGCTTCTCAGCATCCTCCCTCAGCCCCTGCGGGCTGTGGGCCAGAAGTCCACACCTTTACCATGGGACCCGGATGGCCTGCCGGGCTCCTCGGGCCTGCAGGGCACGTGGGGTCTGAACCCTGCTTCCACTCAGGAAAAACCTGGTACATTCCACTCAGGAAAGACCTGGCTCGCCCCAGGGCGTGGCCGGTGGCCCCTGCCAACCGAGTCTTGGCCGCAGGGCCCCGGGCCTGCGCTCTGTGCGCTGGGGTGCTCTGAGCCGTCGCCGACTTGACTGAAAAGTAACTTGCAGTGTCTCCCGCTGCGGGCTGTGGAGCCCTGATAGAGGGTCGTGGGCGCTGGAACCTGCCCCCAGGGATGACCCTGCAGGAGACCGGCCTCCAGCCCCCAGACCCAAGGGAGCAGTGCTCCCCCGGGGGGCAGGGCAGCAGCAAGGCCCAGCCCACGCCTGGTGGCTAAGCCATGGGAGGCCTCTGTCCCCACAAATCCAGTTTGACAGGACCCGGGGGCCCTGGGCTTTTAGGGGGTGGCCCTGGAGGAAGCAGGGCAGCTGGCCCTGGGGACAGCAACCGCTGCTGGGCATTCTTTTGGGGCAGCGTTTTCCTTTCTTTCCTCTTCCTGGGGATTGCTGAGACCATCCAGTGTGTCTGGCAGGGCGCAGCCCCTGTCAACTGCAGCTTTGCCAAGGCCCAGACTGTCCAGGGCTGGGGAGCCAGACCCCACTGCTAGCAAGGTCTCCGGGTGGGGGTGCAGCCAATCCTGTAGATGCCAAATCTGGGAAGGGTGGTCTGTGTCGGATTCCACTGTTCCTCCTCTGTCATAAATCATTTACCTTAAAAAAAATCCTAAAGCTCTCACTAGATCTGGAATTCCGCCCCAAGAGTCGATGCAAGTGGAGCTCGGGAAGCCAGGGGAGTCCTCTCCGTCCTCACAGGGACTCTTCCCCACGGTTTCACCATGTCCCGTGACTTCCTGGAGAGCTGGGGCAGTGACCTGCAGGGACACAGCGAGCACTTGCATCTGGCTGCTGGGCCTCTGACCCTCCACCCCTGGTGCTCTGGGGGACGGTTCTCTGTCTGCCACTGGGCTGAGGTCCAGGCCGTGTGCATAGGTCAAAGGTCAAGGGCAGCATTCTCAACTGCAGGGGTCAAACTTGCCAGACGGTCCTCTGAGGCAGGGCCAAATAATTTGCCATTAGTGAGAGTTAGGCTTGATGGTAATTGTGTTAAGGTGGGCATGAGGCTAATTCTTATATGGGACGTGGTAGGATAATGGCCCTCTGGAGATGATTACACGACAAGAGGGACTTTGCAGGTGTGATCAAGTTAAGGACCTTTAGACAGGGAGACTGTCTTGGATTATCCAGGTGGCCTTAACATGGCTATGAGGGTCCTTAACGAGAGAAAGGCACGACAGAGACAGGGATACAGAGACAGAGAGGGAGAGAAAGAGACAGAGTTAAAGAGACACACACATAAGGAGAGAGGCAGAAAGAGACACAAAGAGACAGAGACACAGAGACAAAGACAGACACAGAGAGAAAGGGAGAGAGATGTACCGGACGCAGTGGCTCACGCCTGTAATCCTAGCACTCTAGGAGGCTGAGGCGGGTGAATCGCTCAAGGTCAGGAGTTCGAAACCAGCCTGAGCAAGAGCAAGACCCTGTCTATACTAAAAATAGAAAGAAATTACCCAAAGAACTAAAAATATATAGAAAAAGTTAGCGGGCATGGTGGCGCATGCCTGTAGTCCCAGCTACTCGGGAGGCTGAGGCAGAAGGATCTCTTGAGCCCAGGAGTTTGAGGTTGCTGTGAGCTAGGCATCAGCTGGCAATGGCCCTCTGGAGATGATTACATGGCAAAAGGGACTTTGCATGTGTGATCAAGTTGGGGACCTTGAGACAGGGAGACTGTCTTGGATTATCCAGGTGGCCCTACTGGGGCTATGAGGGTCCTTAACGAGAGAAAGGCACGAGGGTCAGAGACAGGGATACAGAGAGACAGAGAGGGAGAGCTACTCCCAGCTACTCGGGAGGCTGAGGCAGGAGGATCGCTTGAGCCCAGGGGTTTGAGGTTGCTGTGAGCTAGGCTGACGCCACGGCACTCACTCTAGCCCGGGCAACAGAGTGAGACTCTGTCTCAAAAAAAAAAAAAAGAGAGATGGGAAGATGCTACATTCTGCTGGCTTTGAAGATGGATGGGCACACAAGCCAGGGGACGCAGGGGCCTCTGCGAGTGGGAAAACGCGAGGAGACGACTCCCCCAGCGCCTCCAGAAGGAGCCGCCCGTCGGACACGTTGCTTCAAGCACTTTGGACTCCAGAACCACAGGCTGGCGCGGCTGTGCTGTTCTAAGCCATGAGCTCGGTGGCTGTTTGTGACGGCAGCCCCCAGAAACTACGGGGGCCATCTGTGCTCTTGCCTGCCCTGCCTGGCGTCGGCCCCTGGACCTTCCCGTGGGAGCCTCCCCTCCCCAGTCTAGTCCGTTTGGGTGGAGCAGACCACGCCCAGCTCCCGGGTGGAGCATGTGACCAGAAAATTAAAACAATCGGAACAGGTGTCTCTCTGAGGTGGCTGAGGATCAGCCAACCCCTGCCACGCCCCTGCCCAGTCGAACCGGAACACTTCCGATGCATGAAACACTAAAGCCTCTGTTTTGCTTGACCCAGCTTGAGGTGGGATTCTGTCACTCCCAAACCACAGAGCCCTATGCTAGTGTCACTCCCAGCCCTTTGTACCGAGGTCAGTTTTCTCAGGTGGGGGCGAGGGCGGAGCTGCAGGCAGCAGGAACTGCCCTTGGCCAGGCTGGTCTCAGCCATGCACATCAGTGTTTGCTGGGGGTAGCTGTGAATTACTAGCTCTGCTCCCTGGTCCGTCTTATGCTGGGAGCTTCCATGAAAACCTGAGCATGCTTCCTGCCTGAACGTCTTGCATCTATTATGTGCAGTGCATGGAAAAAAAAGATGGGGAACCGCAATTCCGGAGGCCTGAGCGTCAGTGACATGCTTAATCTTTCCCTGGTGCATTGTCATCAGGAAATGCGTGTTGGACTCAGTTCCTGGCACCAACTTGGTAGGAGCCACTCAATCAAGCTGGGGATCACACCGTCTCCTGGGAGGCGGGCAGGGGGCAGCCGGCCGAGGGGCTTGGGGGTTGGTGTTTGGGGGTGGAGCTGGCAAAAGAGGGAAGAAAACTCTTGCAGTTCTCCTGGCTGGGCCCCTCCCCAGGGGAACACCTGCCTCTGTTCTCCCTCCTGCAGACCGAGACCCTCTTTCCTGATGTGTTATTCCGTGATGGTCTAGGACAGAGGACATGCGGGCATGGGCGAAGAAAGCACAGGGTGGGGCTCTGGCGAAATCTCATGGATGGCATGTGATAACCGGCAGGGAGGGCACTGGTGGAGGGGCCCACGTTCTCACTCTGTGCACAACGAGGGTCTTCAAGGGTCCATCAAGGTCTCCATGGCTCCTATGGGAACAGAAGAGCCACAAGTCTCCTTTGGACACCTGGGTGTGTTGCCACCGTGACAGCAACTATCCTCTCTCATCTCCCCCCCACCCCAGATCCTAGCTCTGCTTTCCACCATGCCCCGCCCTGGAGGCTGAGTGGTGTGGACCACATCAGGGGGTCCCCATGCCCCGCCTCTGCTTCCAGTGGCGAGCCCACAGCAGGCTGAGGGAGGGAGGAGACACAGGACAGCGTGTTCATTCTCCCGGCTCCCTCCCTTCCAGGTCTGTGCTCGTTTCCTGGAACAAATGACCATGAACTCTGTGGCCTAAAACAGCATGCACTATTCCCTCTCGGTTCAGGAGGCCGGAAGTCTAAAAGCAAGGTGGCCACAGGGTCGTGTGTCCTCCAAGGCTCCAGGGGAGGATGCCTCCAGACCTCTTCCAGCTTCTGGTGGCTCCGTGGCTTGTGGCTGCATCACTCCAGTCTCTGCCCCCGTCTTCATGTGGCCTCCTGCTCTGTGTGCATGTCCTCTCCTCTCCTTGCAGGGACACCAGTCGCTAGAGTTAGGGCCCACCCTAAATCCAGGAAGACTTTACCTTGTGATCCTTAACTAGCTACATCTGCGAAGAACCTATTTTCAAGTAAGGTGACATTCTGAGGTTCTGGGTGGACGGGAATCTTTGGGACTCTAACTCAACCCACTGCAAGTACTCCTTGGCCTGGCTGTGTCCTTGAGGTCACTATTCCCCTCGGTGTCATGCTGTGCCCGACTCTCTCGTTCTGGGCTTGGGTTACTGCTTCTCATCATTGTCCCTTTGAGCCTGGGGGTGACAGCTCTGCTATCCCAGCCCTGGGTTCCTCACTCCCCATTTCTCTCTCGAGATTCCTCTACACCCGCTTCATAAATAAACTCTCTCTGAATTACCTTGAAGGTTCCATCCGTTTCCTGTTGGGACACTGGGGGTACAGTGACCAATGCTGAGCACTTGCTCTGCCTCCTTCATGCTCACAATCATCGTTATTCCCAATTGCAATCAGGACAGGGACACTCAGCGAGGGTGCGTTACTCGCCCCAGGCGTTGCAGCTGAGACGGCCAGAAGGCCACCTGGACACCCTGCTTCTGACCACAGGTCACTGCCGTGGCCCTCCTTCAGGGTCCAAGGAAAAGCCAGTCTGCCTCTGGGAGGGGTCCTGTGGGGTGTGGACGTGGGAGGGAGGAGGGCCTGGCCACTCGCATGGTCCTACACCCCCGTTGCTATGGGCGATGAGACTCAGCCCCAGCCGCTTTCAGCAGAAGAGGGTTTATTGGCTCGTGTGCCTCAAAAGTCTGCGGTGGCCTGGCCTGAGGACTCAGGTGTGCAGGTGATGGCCTCACATAGGCCCGTCTCCCGCCTCGGGTCTGTGTCCCCCACCCCCATGCAGCCCAGCCAGGACGGCCCCTGGGTCTGCAGACTGTCGTCCCGCCAGCCTCAGGCTCTGGGCTGAGAGAGCTCCTTTCCCAGCGAGCTCAGGGGGGACACCGGTGGGTCGGGTCACATGCCCAGCAGGTTCTGGAAAGAGCAGGTGTGGCCTGGGCTCGGGGCCTCAGCTTGGTGGGGAGGGCAGGTGGGGGTTTCATGGGTCACTGTGGCCGAGGGAGGGGTAGAGGAGGGGGCTTCTTACTTCACAGCACAGGGTCCTCCCAGGCCAGAGGTCTGGGGACGGGAATCGGGGATCAGGGGCTGCTTGGGGAGGGGATGCAAGCACTTGGAGGTTGTGTGTCAGATGGAGAAGACACAGGCTGCCACATGTGAACTCCCCACCCACATGAGCCTGGTCCCAAGGACTTTAACACCTTAAACCCTCCCAAGGGACAGGTGACGCAGTTCGACTCCAGCTGACCGGGCTGCAACTTAAAAGTGTGCCCTTTCAGCTTCAGGCACTGTGGCCCCAGACCTCCCTGACTGCTCCCCACGAAGGCTCTTTGGAACCCCACCTGCCACGCTCCAGCGATGTGACCTTGGGCCACCTCTAACTCTCTGGGCCTCAGTTTCCTCTGCAGTGAAAGGGGCCGCTGCCCTTTATTCCAGAGGCTCTAACGGGACTTTGGCTGTGAGAAGATTGCCCGGGCCTCAGGAGACATCCAGCAAGTGCTGCGACCAAATCCACAGTCCCAGCCTCTGCGCCTTGTCCCCAGGGGTGGCCGTGGACCTGGAGCTCTACAATCAGGTCCTGTCTTTGGGTGTCTCCTTTTTGTCTCCTTTCTCGTCAACTCTTGCCCGGCAGGCTGGAGGCGCAGAAGGCAGGGCCACTGGCTTAACGCTGTCCTTGTCACCCGTGGCATCCTCAACAAACGCTCGTTTGAGTGGCTGATGTGCGAGACGGGAGAGTCGGACTCAGGAGGGGGGCAGGGAGGGCTCTGTCTGTTCCAGGTCGTGCGTTGAATAGACTCGTTTTGTGCCGACGCAGTGCCAGGCGGTGCAGGATGCTGGCGGCCGAGGGGACGGGCCCTGGCTCGGAATCAGAGCAGTCTCTGTCTGCATCTCGGCCCTGCCTCCCGCCGGCTCCGGGTCTCACTTTGGCCACGCCTTTCCTCTTCTGTGCCTCAGTTTCCTTCTCTGTAAAATGAGGACAGAACTCTGACTTCAAAGCAGTGCTGTGAGCACTAAATGAGATGGAAGGTTCTGGTGCTTTGTCTGGGCTCGGGGCACAGAACAGTGACTAAGTCACAGCCTTCGTGGCTGGTTCATGGAATAGCCCGGAGGGGCTTGATTTTAACCCGGTCGCTGCCCACAGCGGTGCTGGGCCAAACCCTCTCTCCCGGCCTGTGACTTGCAAGTGTTCAATCACTTTCCAATCTGAAGTGCGTAGGCCTGGCCTGAGTACTGGAATGTTCTTCACTCTTTTTCACTCTCCCCTTCTGCTTCTGTTTTAGCTCCTCCTGTGTGTTGGGGGCTGGGGAGGGGTGACAGTCACAGACCTGTGGGACTCACCCTGCCCCGGTCTCTGTCCTCTCTAGGTGGGCCACCTTCACCTCCACCCTTCCCCTCTGCTCCTGTCCCTGGGGAGGTGCCACGGCCCCTGCTGCTGGAGCACGCTTGCCCCAGGGACCTCTCCCTGGGCTCAGGACCAGAGCAGCAGCCTGTCACCTCCTGGGGCATTTGCTCAGCCCCAGCTGGCCCCCGCCCACCCCACCCACCCTTTCTGACTGTCTTCCCCACCTGCACCTGCAGGTGTCAGCGGGCCAGATGTGTTTGCACATGTCCAGCAGGGAATGACAGCTGGCCTCCCCTGCCTGCCCATGCCCCTTCCTTGCCCCACAACGCCCTCGGGCTTCTCGTATTTTCTCAGACTCCCTTCCTTGTAGCGGGGACAGGAAGACACCTTGTGGGGTGTGGGCGGGGGTGGAGTGAAGCCAGTTCCGAGGCCCGAGTCAGACGAGGGCACCCGAGGCTGCAGTGGCCGGAGCCCCCTGGAGGTGGGTGTAGTTTGGGGTCACAGGGAGAATCCCACTTGCTCTCCTCTGACGATGCTGTCGTTACTACTGAGTACTTGGGACCGAGGACACTTTCTTCTTGTCTTGTGCACGCTGTCGGTGTGCGCGGGGAGGCGGGGGAGGAGGTAAGCCCTCTCAGGTGTGCCCGTCCCCTTTCGCGGAGGCCCGCGGAGTCCCCCCTGCTGAAATGGCCTGGGCAGAGGCCTGTCTGCAGCCAGAGGGACGCCCGGGACGGCGCCTCTCCGTCACAGGTCTGCCTGGCGTGGTTTTGGGAATTCCTTACCGAACGTTCCAGCCTAAAGATGCCGTTTAGGTCAAAACGGCCGACAGACGTCCCGACAGAAAGACCCCGGCGTCCCCCCGGCTGTTGCTCTGGGAGGGGACCCAGGTGTGTCCCACATGTGCGGTGCCGCCGCGCCAGGGCCCCCGTTGTCCGCTGGCTCGGCTCCAGAGGGCCCCGCTCTGTGCAGACGGGGGGGGGGCAGGGAGTCAGCGTGGGTTTGTCACGTTCCGCTGGGGACGCCTTTCCCCAAGCACCGGAGCACTGGATTAGGAGCCTGAAGAATAAGAGATCTAATCCCCAGGTCACGTGTGGTCGTGAAAACAGAAGCTCCACTCCACGTATGGGGCACGTACTGTGTGTCGGACACTGGGCTGGCACTTACACATATGTCCCTGTCAAATCCAGCCCACAGCCCTGTCCCCCAACCGGGGATGGGTTCCATCTTAGAGAATCCTCTTTGTTCTGTGTAAATCTCCTTCTTCTGCTCACCCGCTGGCCCCCGTGGCCCCCCAGCCCGTATTAGAGGTCAAAGTGAAGACTCTGCTGATCCAAAAAGGAGCCAGGATTTTTGTTCCAGAGACTTAATCGGACTGGGTATGGGGGAAGGGAGGGCAAGTGGCAAAGGCCTGTCTTGTACAGGTGTTCAGGTTGTGCACCAAGGGTACTTCGCTTCTGAGGGCATTATTCTCAGTGTAGACATAGACTGATGTATATGAGAGTGTGTGGGTGAGTGTGGAGACTCGGGCCTGTGGCTGAGGCCTGGAGCAACAAGTTCCCTTTATGTGACCCCCACACTAGTATGGACACACTCGGGGAGGTGCCTGCACGCCCTGGCATAGCCTGGCACACCTGCATAACGTGTGCGGCAGTGCCACGCCCACCCAGCTCAGGGGACACCCAAGGTCCCTCTGCCTGCCTGCTGCTCTCAGACTTGAGGCCACCCTTGCCCGGCTCCCCGAGAGCGGGCCTGGGGTCAGCCTTCAAGGAACAAATAGAGGACAAATCAGTGAACAAGTGCCGGTGGCCGCGAGGGGCACTGGAGCAAATGGACGATGGAAGCAGGGGCGAGGGGCCGGATCCCTGACCGCGAGCCCTGGCTTTTGGGCTGAGCACCTCTTCTCTCTGGCTAAGCCCAAGTGGCTCTCAGCCTGGGTCCTGCAGCTTCTCCCAGCCCAGACATGGGCCCAGGAACAATGGGTGGAGCACTGACTTTGGGGTCCAAAGTTAAAGCCTCAACTCACCCCCCGGGCGTCTGCTGCCCACGCAGCACCCACAGGCCCAGTGGAGCAGGCCGCACCAAGGAGGGGTGATGCTCGGCCAACTCGGGACACAGAAGGCCCCTCCGGGAACACCTCCGCCTCCTCCCTCCCGCCCACAAGCTCTGCCAGGCTCCCCGGGGGCCTGGGGCAGGGGCAGAGCCAGGCAGGGAGACCGGGCGAGCTGTGTCGCTGCCAGCCCGCGGGGCGTCTGCGGGCCCCTCCCCGGGCTCTGGCGAGAGGCTGGAACACAAAGCTGTTTTTATTTATGATAGTGTCAGTGGGCCGGCCTCCGTCTAGACAGCTGGTGTTATCATTCGAGGCCATCCTGGAATGTGCAGCCCCATTTATTGAGAACAGAGGACAGTGTGCAGATTAAACAGCTCATAAAAATAAGCTGGGAACCGACACTGGGCCAGGAAGACCAAGGTAACCTCAGCTAGGTCAATTGTCCTCGCTTGTTTTGGACACGAGAATGTTTTCAGAAAAAACAAGGAGAGATGTGGCCGCAGGGAGGCCAGCAGGGCGCTGCTGGTGCCCCCTGGGCAGCGATGAGATGCAGGCGGGGAGGCTGCAGGACGCGCCAACCAGAGCGCAGCTGCAGGAGGGGACAGAGGGGCCACCCTGGCTGGGACGGGCCTTCCGGAACAGCTTGGACTCTGTGGAAAGCTCGGCCTCCCCTGGGCCTGGGAGCCAGGGCGGGCAGCTGCTGCCCTCTCCTTGGGCTCCTGCCCTTGCCACCAAGGCCATCGTTGGTCACTCCAGTTATCTGGGCCCCAGGGGGAGCCAGGCCCTGGGTGATGGATCGAGGAGGAGTCACGTGTCCTGGTCGCTCACTTACCACCTTGTTAGTTCATTTCTCTGTTCATTTGCTCCTTCTTCTGCTCACTCAGTCTCCGAACACACGCTGAGCACTTACGGTGGCCTGGCCGAGACTCGGCCTTGTCTTCAAGAGGCTTCTGGACAGACATGGAAACACACGCTGGGTCCCGAGAGAAATACTGGAGGCTCCCAAATTGTCTGAACCGAGAGGCAGCCAAACGCTTGCCCGCGCCAGGAGGACGCAGGCGGACACCTGAACCCCTCCCCTCCCCGGCCCACCGGGAAACCATCTCAGATGTCCGCACCCGGGGAAGCCCTGGTGGCCTGTGCCCTGAGCAGGGTCCTGGAAGCCGGCGGTGTCGCCCTCACTCCCTCCCCCGGAAGTTGAGCGCAGCAGGTGTGGGAGCCCCAGGAAGTTGGGCTTGGCCCTGCTGTCCATGTGACCTTGGACGACGTGCCTGGCTGCCCTGAGCCTCGGGGTCCCCATCTGCAAAGTGGGGGTGAGCACGGACGGGGCCTCTCTCTCAGGGTGAGGACGACACGGACGGAAGGCAAAAGGGGGCTAGGAAGGTTCCGGCACACAGTGAGGGCCTCACCTGTGTCGGCAAGTGGCGTCAGCTCGCTGCTTCTTCAGTCACTCACGTTTCCCCTTTCTACCTTCCGAGCCTGGTGCTGGGCCTGACCCAAGGCGGGTGAGCCCCAAATGCTTGCTGATTGCAGGAACGAAGTGAGAGCAGGGGGCTGGCGGGAAGTTCCCCTCTCTGTGGCTTTCTCAGGAATCCGAGCCCAAATGTCAGTTCCCGGGAAAGAGAAGAGAGGGGAGGCAGCAAGGGTGGCCTTGACCCAGCCCTTCCCAGGGGACAAAGCAGCTGCAGCTCAGGGCTTCTGTGTGGACACGGCGCTGGGCGGAACAGAGGGGGCTCCAACCCGGTCAGACCTGGTCGTTCCTGTGGCAGGAGACCCCGTGGGCAGGGCTCACTGCGCTGCCAAGGGGTCACACCCAGGGCCCCACACAGCGCCCTTCCCGGAGCAAGGGGAGAACTCCCAGTGAACGAGAGCAAGAGTCTCAGGAAGCCCCGGCCTCCTGCAAGGGGCCCAGGACCCACCCAGGGGGGCGGGCCGCATGGGGTCAGAGCATGGGCTTTGGTGCCAGGGAGGCCTGGTTTTAAGCTGTGGACCTTGAGCGAGTGAATGAGCCTCCCTGGGCTTCTGAGTCACAGCAGCAGCCACCATAGAGCGCTGCCAAGGGGTCGCACGCGTTCACACACACAAAGTGCCTTTGCCGGCGTGGGCAGGTTGGCAGGATTGCATTATTGCTAAGATGCAGGTACTATGTATGATCATGCCCACTTTGGAGGGTGGATGTGGCAGCTAAGAGAGGTGGGGGCATTTTGCTAGGATCACAAACGGGGCGCAGAGCTGCAGCCTTTGTCCTCCACCGGAGTCCCAGGTCTGCCACTAGCATCCGTTTTTGAACCTTCCACCCTCAGGAGGCTCGAACTCCACCTCCCCCTGGGCGCCTGCCCAGAAAGCCACTTTAGGAGGGAGGCTGCCTCGATTTGCTCTTGGCCATTCGGGAGCCTGGGGGGTGCTGGGGCCCTGTCCCCCCCTCACGCTCCAGGGTATGGCGACAGCATTGCAGGGCTGGCCCATCGGCACCCCAGAGTGCCTAAGGGGCTGATCTCCAGGCACAGGAGAGGCTGGGATCCAGGACACCCTGCACTGGCCACCCTGCACCGTGCTGAGTGGGCCCTGAGCAGCCTGCTCCCTGAAAAATGCGACATCAAAGGGGGCGGGGCACAGACAGCCACCCAGGCAGGCCCAGGCTCTCCTCACGAGAGGCAGGGGCTGGCTTCCCGGGGGAAAACACTCAGAACATAGACTGCTGGTGGACTCCGAAACTGGAGCACCGGTGGGAATTCGGAGTCAGAGCCTGGAGTGGGAGCTGCCTAGAGGCGGAAGAACCTCTATACTCAAGCAGAGTAAGTGACCCCGGATTCCCGAAGTTCTGGGTGTAAGGCTCCTTCAAGGCACTGCCTGTGGGAGGCAGAGAGGCTGTGGGCTTAGATAACATATTATTATTATTACTGCATCACCCAACCCTTAAATGACACTATGTGCCAGACACTTTTCCCAGTATCCTACAAAGAATCACCTAATGAGGCCCCCATATTATAGAGGAACCTACTCAAATGGACTCACTTTCTTTCCCTGGCAAACTCCTATCCATCCTTCAAAACCCTGCTAGGGCATTCCTGCCCTGCTTGCTTAGCAGAGTCCATTGCTCCCTCCTCTGCATCACTTGAAGCCCCATCTCCCCTGCTTGCTGGTCTGTGCCCACCCGCTGGACTCCCTGGTTTTCTGAGTCTGAATCTCTATGCCATGCGCACCTGGCACATACGAGGGTGTCAGCACATGTTTGCCAAATGGGACGACAGAGGCCGTGGGTATGCAGCAGCACCCCGACTCCCACCTGTACGGGGCTTCCTGGCGTGGGTGCTACCCCAAGGGGAAAGGCTGCTTGTTTCCCTCCTAGGTGGCCAGGCTGTCCCAGAGGGCCCGTCCTCCAGAAGTGAGTCTGGGCTGGGCTGCTTCCCCCAGGGGGTGTGACACCTTCAGCTCGTTCTTCCAGGAAGCTAGGTGTGGGGGTGGCCCGAGGGGGGCCCCAGCTTCTAGGGGTGGCTGCAGGAGGCCCAGGAGGAGAAGCTGCTGGGCCAGAGGAAAGGGTCTCTCTGGGCGGGGGTGGCATGTGGAGGGCACTTGTCTTTCCCACTTTCCTGCAAGTAACTATTGTAATAATCAGACCCAGGGCAGGGCACATGTGGGCTTTGCAGACTCTCAACGCATTGCCTACACCCGGGCCTCACATGACCTTGGAGACACGAGGAACTTGGCACGAAGGCGTCCTTATGTTCACCTTGTGGAATCGGAAATTGAGGCTCCCTAAGGCAGCAACTAGCCACAGTCACGGAGGCGGCTGGCGTTCTGAGTCCACGCCCCAGAGCCGCTGACCTGGGACTGTTCACACTTCTGCAGGCGTCACCCCTGCAGTGGCCCGGCCTGGGCACTTTCCAAATCCCACCACCATGTCTGGGCTCTGGAGAAAGGGCTCACGGTCTTCGCTCTTTCTGACTCTTTGGGGGATTTTAAAACAGAAAAAGGGCACGGGGCTGGGGCAGGGATGCAGAAAGTTCCTCCAGGTTGCCACACACGCAGGCTGGAGGCATCGCCCCTTGCACCCCAGGGAGCCAGGGTCCCCAGGGCTCGCTGCCCCCCACCCCTGCCCGGCAGCCTCCGGGCCCCTCTGCTCCCACACGGCTCTCGGAGGAGTCTTCCGAGAGGCAGAGCCAAATTCTAGCGCAGGCAGAGGATGTTTTCCTTCCCAGTGGACAAAACATTTCTGGCGCTTTTGGGAGGGGACTGAACACTTTGTCCACTTTGGCACATTCGGGATTCCTGGACGGACACAAGTGCACTCTTCACATGCAACAAGATTAATTACACAATCTCCTCCCTCCCGCGCCCCCCCCCACCTCACAGCCCGGCCCGGCCTGCCCCCTTCCCTGGTCACCCGTTTGCCCCAGAGCAAACCTTCTGAGAAGTCCATTCCAAGTGGCCTCAGGAAGTGAACACTGAGTCATGTGCCTCTTGCCATGTGCCCCTCCTGGCAGGGGGAGGGGCTGAGAAACAGCCCCCAACTCCAAGTGAACCCCAGATATCTCATGTTGGAGAAATTCTGCCCACCATGACGGGGTTGGCCTGGCCTGACACAGTGGCCTCGATCCACAGGTGGGTCCCACTGGTGCCTCCCTGGGACTTCCTGGGTCATCAGGATTCCCAGAGGGTTGGGAACATTTCAGAAGCTCCTGGCCGAGCTGTGGTCCCAACCCTGGTCCCCTGTGGCCTTCCATGGTCCATTTAAAGAAGCTGGCATCAGGTGGCCAAAGTGACACGAGTGGGAGGGAGTAGGTTGGAAGAACAGGACCTACTCGTGTCTGCATCCCATCTCCCAGGCCACACCCAAGTGCTTGGGGACAGCCCTGGAGTGGAGGGTCTGCTCCAAGGGGTGCCTCATTGCAAAGCTGTTTGTGAAGTCTCTGCCCCTCTCAGAGGGTCCAGCAGTGAGCTCAGACAAAACATTCCAGAACATTGTTAGGATGCCTGAAAGATGTCTTTAGGGCTATGCTGCTACTCTGGAAGGTGGGATGCTTTGGAAACCTGCTCCCACCCTGTGCTCCCACCCTGGCTGCACTGGAGGGAGAACAGGCAAGGGCTAAGCGGGAAGAAGCCGAGAGCCCAGTGAGCAAAGGCCTGTGGGCCAGTGCCAGGGCCCTGAACCCGCCGGGGCGAGCTGAACTCCGGCGGGAGGCAGGCTGCTAACCAGTAAGCAAGTTGTAAAAGCCCAGCTCAGACACAACATCTGGCAGCTGCTTCAAATAGTTCTCTGTCTGAAGTTGGAGTCACTCGCGGCCCTCCTGTAAATCAAACCATGTGCACAGAGGAGCCCTGTGCCGACCCGAGGCACCCCCGCTTGGCCGGGCCCCTGCCAAGCCCCCAGCCTCTCTCGTTCTTTAAATAGCCCGGGCTGCGCATTCCATCTCCTTGTACGATCAGCTCAGGGCAGCCCCAGCTGCCGAAGTGGCAGGGATGGAAGCTACAGCCTCCCGTCCCCAAGACAGATGGAGGGAGCTTGGCACTCGGGGCACCATCTCCAGGGCCCAGCTCCCTTTCCAATGCCTGAGTAGCGCCTCCCCTTCCCAGGCTCGGGACCCACTCACTGCCGGCGGGCAGAGGGTGATCGGAGAGAGTCCAAGTCCTCTGTCCACTAACGGGTCTCTGGCCTGGTCCTGGCCCTGTGGCTTCCAAGCAAACCCTGGGCACTTACCTCATAGGACATCGATCAGTTCTAGAACAAATCTGGTCTCGTGAGGCTGGTTGTCAGAGACTGGGGCGACAGGGAGACGATGTGTTGTCAACAACGAGGGGACACCTGGCCTGTGTGGCAGCAGCCACCACGGGCCTGGCACTGGGCTCTGTTTCCCACCTGCGTCGTTCATATGTCTTCGTGGCCACCCTAGGATTGGGTGCTAATTGTGAAATGCTGCCTAAAGGCGTGCGCATTGTGTGGCAGTCCCAT